AAGGCTACACGTGACGGCATAAAAGGTCTGCAGTCCCTCTGCATAAAGGATTCCACTTCTCATCACCCAGTACTGGTGCCATAAACTTTTAGTATTTGCCACTCTGGAGCTTCTTGTACGAATCAATAAATTTTCTGAAGCATTATTCATTTGTCAAAATGCAACTGCTGTTGATGGGAAAACGCGAGATGACTGGGAAGGGCTCACACATCTCCTGACATCCCACGGGAGCCAGACCTGTGAAAAGCAAGCAGCGTGAGGAGCACTTCAACCCTTCACCTTTTGGTGTCTCTGCTAATGCAAAAGAGGGGATGCACTGAAGGATTAACTATTGATCTGTTAGTTTGCCCTCAGATTTAAATTCATTTCCCACTGCAGGGCAAGGGAACATTTCTTTCTTATGACAGGAATAAAAAATTTACTGTTACAGAGTAAGGAAAGGCATTTACATCTTTTCAAACAAACTCAAAAGTGTTAAGAAATATGCAAATTATGGTTAACTGTCTATTTAGGTCACAAATGCTAAAGAGCAAACTATCTTTCTCCTTGATCTGTTAGCAGGAATAGTCTTATAATTAAATGCCAAGTTTTTAAGTTATGGCAGGAACTTTTCAGGCAAATATGTAACTTTTCCTACCTCCTGCCTTTGGAAACCAGAAGGGCCAAATTTAGATTCTCACCTAGTGCTCAGATCCCAGTCCTGAACCATACAAACCTGGATCTAGTGGCTAAAACAAAACTCTAGCCACCAAACCAAACAGAATGGACTGCAGTGATGGACAAAACACTCAGTAATGCCTGCAGAGTGTCTTGAGCAGCACAGACTTACAGTAGCAGGACAAGGAATTCTGTCACAGGGAATTTCCATGGATACAAGCACATTTCCATGAAGTTATGGAAGAAAAACTTTTGTAGGCTGTAACCTGTGAGCTTTTTTTGCTACTGAAGCCCTGAACAGCAGATTAGAATTCTGCACCTTTGATTATCAGCTATTTAGCGAGATACTGAGGTGGTTTTTATTTAACAAATTGCCATGGAGCTCTCATCTCTTCCTTTCAGATGTCACATCACCTCTGGTAGCTGCTGTGAATGACAAGCAGTCATTCAGACTCCCCTCCCCAAGGCCAGCAACTGCACTTGTACATCGCTTTGATTTTCTGTGAATAAAAGATCACTTACGAGCCTGAAGAGATGCATTATTCATCTTTGAACTCCCCTGAAAATCAGTTTAAACTGTTTATAGCTCCAGTCGTTTGGAACTCGGGTGCGCAACTGTGACTCATGACCGAACAGGTCCGGCCAAATTCCTTCAGTGATGCCAGGCAAGGGCCAGTGCTCAGAGGGATCTCTGCTCCACAGCCATCATCTGTTCTCACATCAGTAGCAATGCTTCTCACAGACATCTGTGTTTGATCCAGAGGAGAATCTCTCCCTTTACCTGTGCCGGGAACATTTGTAGCTCCTGCTGCAGTGTATCACACACTCACAAAGCACAGGGCTATCCACATCTTTTCCTGGTGAAAAATGTATTTTATAGGGACATTTGCATTGAAATATTATCTTAATTTCTCCTCCTGTGGCATGCCTTCAATTTTCATTGTCTTAGCAGTGATTGTGTACTTCCTACTTCATCCTGAGGATGATCTTACCTCTTTGAGCTGCACAAGAATACACATCTACAAACCAGGCCTTGCTGTCTTTTTTTTTAACCTCCTCTCTTGTACATGAAGTCTAGATTAAGTTAGGTTTTTTCTCACTGAAAACATGAGATAGTTTCCCCAGAGTGTTTTTCCGTTTTCCATCCAGACAGAAACAAGAAGGGAAGCAGGAACACGTCGTGCTCCATCTCTCTGGGTTTGCAAACTGTGCTTGCGAAAAGTGCTGAGTTTAATGTGGTCTTGTCAACAAGCTCATTCTCTACAGCGAGTGACACTTTAGACTGTCTTCCAGCATTTTTAATGAGGGATCCCCTCACAGGCTTCAGGGATTTCAGCAGGATTTTAAGAGCCTTACACAATGTCACTCTAACCAGAGAGGAGCTGATGCTCCACAAAGCAAAGCAGCCCAGCAGTAATGACACCAACAGAGCTTTCATGTCAGTGGTTCTCCTTTAGTTTTACAAGAGTGATTGCAGGAGGAACAACCAGCAAGAACATTTGTCCCAACCTTAATTGCTAGCTTCAAAACCAGAAAATTAATTTCATATAGCCATGGTGTGCTCCTGCTTTTAATGCACATGCATAAATAGCGCTTTTAAAAACTTCTTTGGCAGCTCTCTAAAGAAATACATTATGACAACAACTCCAAATTTAAAGTTGAAAGACATCTTTGGTTTAAGATTTTCATCTCTTACTGACAAAAAAAGCTGTCTTGAAAAAATACTTCATGAGCCTCTTCCAGCTAAAGAACATCTGTAGGGAGCTGCTGTAAATATGAGGAGCACTTCCAAAAGGATTTTCAGAAACCCCGATTATATATACTCTCATATTTCCCTTCCTTTTCCTACTACCTCATGTTGTAGGGGACATATTATTCATAGTAAAAGCTATTAAACACAAGTGATTTCTGACATTAGTCCACCTCAACATGACCTCCCTTCCCTCCTCCAAGTGTCACTGCCATAGGCTTAACTTTGCAGCAACAGAGCACAGAAGTGCAAATCCCATCCCCAGGGATGCCAAGGATGCCATAGTGAGAAGGGAAAGCATTTAAAGGGAGATCCAGGAACATTTTTAATCCTATAGTTTATTCTGCTATCATGCCAAATGTGAGCTGCATCTGAATTTTGAGTGCAGAGCTCTACCAGCAGCATGGGGAGGAGAGGGAACAGAGTGTCAAAATAAAGCATTGCAGTGTTCTTGTCTTTTATATTGCACATTTGCAATAAAGTTTGTTGCTGCTGTAGAGGGGAGGATAACGTGTGAGAAACCCTTGCACTGCACCAGAACAGCAGTGAGCACTAGAAATTGCATTGCCCTCCTCTACATAACACAGCTTCACCCTCTGTGGCTTGGTCAGGCTTCATCTCAGCACCTTCACTTCCAGGGGGTAACAGCACACACACACAATTTCTCTGGCTGGCTCTTAAGCAGCAGCTTAGCCTGAACCCAGCATCAGAAATTGAGTTGAGGTCAATCTCCAAATAACAAAATGTTATTTTGGTTCAACGTTGCATATTTTGTCTTGGCTTTTGCAAGGAAATCGGTTTTCCAAGATTTTAGAGGTTTATGAGGTGGTTCTGAGATGTAACTGGTCCTGCTGCCAGTCAGGGATCAGTCAGCCACGTCTGAAGTACTGTTGCAGAGTCCTTCAGAAGGTCTGAGAGAGCAGGAGGGTCCAGCAGCCCTGGGATACACCCTTACTGAGCATATTGAACAATAAAGGTACTCAGCAGGAGCAGTTAACCCAGAGCCATCCACCACACACCTCACACCCCGTTTGCTCCCCCTTGCCCAGAGCATTTCCCCTACGTTTTTCTCTGTTTACCCCAGTACCAGCAAAGGTCCTATTTTTGTGAAGAAATGCAACACTGTGCAGAAGCTGGGGAGGGCCAATCACACACATCCCACTGGGACTTGTGCCAAAACTCAGAAGTCTAAAAGCAAGCCTTTTTCCCATTTAAACCTCTGCTCCCCTCATACAAGAGGGGAAGTTTTATGCCTCTGCAGTATTTGCTCCTGCAAATATTTGCTTCTTGTCCAAAAAAAATGACAGAAAAAAAACATAAAAGGACTGAATTAAGGCTATCACTGGGAAAAGACGTTTTTTCCAGATAAATACAGCCCTTTCCTGGGTTACTGAGACTAAAATATTCTTTAAAACAAACTCTGCATGAATTTGATACATTAAATCCCAAGTTTATGCCTTGGTTTTTCTGAGGGAGGTTTTTGTGCAACTCTACATTAGTCTGACCTGAGTTGCCTTGAACAAAGCTTCCTGAATGTGATCAATTTTAAAATCTACTCAAATTGAAGAGTCTGTCAAGGCTCTTAGTGCAATTCCCACATTTCAATACGAACAATTTTAGAGGAAAACATACAAAAATCGCCATTCTTAGTTGCAAAAGCTTTGAAGTCACAAGTATTTCAGTGTGTCAGGGACAGTTCTCTGGCAAATTTGAGTGTTATTTTCCTGGAATAAGTGATCAAGTGAGCTGATGTGAGTCAGTCTCTGCTATATAAGACACATAAGATTTACCATTAATTGAGAGCAGTTCAGAACATTAGCACTAAGCTGATGCTGGTGCATCGACTGAGGTGGAGGAAAGGCTGCTGGTTTCTAGCACCAGTACCTGGGGGAAAGAGGAACAGGATTTGGAAGGACTGACTCAGGCTGGAAAGAGATTCCATTTCATACAGCATTTGGTATAACCTCCTCATTTAGCCTTAGCCAAGTAACAATCCATCTTTCTGGGGCACAAAGCAACACACCAAAATCAGAACCACAACAAAGAAAATGGGTGCTCCTAAATCATCAGTTCAGGGTCTCACTACAATTCAAAATGAAGTCATCTGCCAGGGGTTATCTCTGTGGCTTGAGAAATATAGCACAATACCCTGGGTGGAAAGACAGGCTTTCAATCTTTGTCACCTAACTACTGTCAGAAGACAAGCGTGGTGGAAACCAGTCCCCAAACATGTAACACAGACACCACGTTTTCCTACTTGCCTTTTTTCAACGGCCAAGGAATGAACGTGTGTGACTCTCAGGGACTGGGTCTGAGCCACATTTCTGAAGGCAGAAAGACTGCATAAACACAGCTCCAGTGTGGAAGAGAAAAAGATCTTTGTGGCAAACTGAATTTAGCAACGTCACCAGGAGCTTCTGACTCAGCCCTGCTCTGCCCAGCTGCGCACTCCAACCACCACCTCCCTTCGTACCTGCCAAACCAGCCCCATTCAGCCCACTTGGAGCTCTGCCACGAGCAGCTGGACAGAAGATGACTGATGCAGCTGTAAAGCAACATCTAATGAAGAAATTCTTTTTATTTCAGGGCTGTAATTAAGCCATACCTCGTAACACTGCCACTGGCTGGGGCAGGAAGGCTACTGACGGGTCGTACCAGGAGAAATGGCTGATAGGATCAGGTTGTTATTCCACTTCAGACCAGTTCACGTTGGCTTGAGTCAACCTCAGACCAGTTTAACTTTGCTGTTTCCTTGCCTGCTTCTGCTGCCTGGCAGGTCTCCCAGATAAAAGGGCTGCTTGCATCGCCCAGGCACAGAGGAGGCTGCTCTGGCTCTGGACATTAACAGGAAGGTCTTGCACAGGCTCCAGTTTTCCAGGGAAAGTGCAAGGCCCCCCTGCCAAATGTTCCACTTCAAACAGCTCAAGCTTGCTGCTCCCGCTGTCTGTGCAGGCTGGTGACTGTGGTTTGCATTGTACAGGGACACAAAACATCCCATAGATGCACTTAAAGCAAAAGATTTAAGCACTTTCAGGTTAGCATTCCACTTCCTGCAAGTCAGGCTTAACATCTCCCTTCGGTGGGCTGCTCGGGCAGCTTAGTCAGCTCCCAGGTGGGCACCTCTGCCTCCTGAGCAACTCAAAGCTGAGCTGACAGCTCCCTCCTCTGTCGGAAAGCACTTAAAGCGGCCTAAAAGTCTGTCCGAGCGTCACTTGGAGCAGGAGACTTGAATAGCCAAGGTTATGCATTTTCTCTCACTTTTTGCATGCAGGCAGGAGTTTCCCGGTGGTATAGGACCCTCCTGCCAAATGCACCGAGTGCTGCTAAAGCTTCAGTTCTCATCCTGCCCTGCTGCAGCTGAGCTGGGTGAGCCTCTCACAGCAGCAGGGCATGGCCAGGACCTCCTTTCCCTTCCAGCTGTGAAAGCTCATGCCATGTGTCCTGCTCTTGTCCTTCTGAGGTTTGGCTTCTCCAGAGTGCAGCAGCAGACAGCAGAAAGGGAGCAGAGCACAGGCACTGTCCTGCCCAGGCAGGACTGGAGGTTCCTGTAGGTCACTGCCAGGTCTGTCTGTCCTTCCTGCCCAGCTACAGCCTGTTTCACACTGAGGGGGTACCTGCCAGTCCTTCCCTTCTGCCTGTGAGAAAAAATATTGGATTTACTGAGAATTTAATAGGAGGTTGAAACTACAAATGAAAATTTAGTCCCGGGGGATGCTATCCCTGATGTCATCCCACGGCTGACAAGCCAGCCTGGGATATAAGTGGAGTGTTGCATGTGCTGAAGGTTTTTGTGCCTCACGCTTAGGGCTAAAGGTTTTTATGCTGGTTCTTGAAACAAAATTGGAAAAGGAGGGCATGGGCAGTTGACAGAAAAAACAATTTTGAAATACTAGTAAAATGTTGGGGAAGCTTAATTATTTCAGGATCAAGATGCATCAGTATATTCTCTTCAGTTTATCCTTTAAAATTTAAAGTGGAAAGTGGTTTTATTTCACTTTCTCGTGGTATAGTTTACTAGAGCTCTTTCAAATATTTCTAAATTCAGAAAACAGGAAGAAAACAATCAGATTATCTTAAACTGCACTGCACAAAAAGAGTCAATATTAAATGCCTTACTGTACAATTCAAATCTTCTATTCCCCCTCTATTCTCTATTGTTTTACAAAGCACTGAAGTTTGTCTACCAGAGTTATTGTTGGATCCTACTAAACATCTCTGAATTTTGTCTGTTCTGCTCCATTTACAAACTCAGAGTTCTGGGATAATTTAGTCTTTGAGCATAAACTGAACTTCACTGGTCTTGCTTGCTGCCTGCTAGGAAAACTGTAGATTTTTCTGATAGGGTTTTTAATTCAATTAAGTCTCTCTGCACATGCCACAAGGAAAGCTTACTCATTGCCATTGCATTTTCTTGCCACAGCAGCTACCATGCACTTGAAGCAAGGCTGCTGTGTTAGTGTGAAATAAATTAAATAATTGTTCAGCTTTCAACTGAGACACAAGCTAAGAGAATTATGCAAAAAAAAAACCAACTTGCAAAAAAATGATAGTGAGATATGGGAAAGGCTTTCAGGACTGCAGGAGGAGCTGCTTGTGCTCTATTTGTGGGAGAGAGGAAGGTGGGTCACACTGGGATTAAGGGATGAGCTTGTGCAAGTCACTGCTGTCTGGAGCTGTCATGCCCAAGAGCCAGCCAGGGTCTCTAAGAGGTACAGCCTCCTGGATACACAATCCCAGGCAGGGACACGAGATAAACTTTCAGTTCAGGTAATAAATCTTCACAGGAGGAAACCAGGAGGATCCCACACTTGGGCAGGGAATACAGAACACAAAGATTTCTGATGGCTTTGCTGTAGGATTTTAAAGGCCTGTGTTCCTCTGAGCCTCGAGGGTTTCCATACCAGGGATTCTCTCAGTGGGAAATACAGAGCTGCTTTCTCCTGCAATCCTGCAACAGGGAAGCCTGACCCATGCCAGCTTGGAGGTGCCTGTGTCAGACACCTCAACTGCACTGAGCTGGGTCTTGTAGGCTCCATTTCTCCAACCATGCCCAAGAGCCTGTGTTGGACTAGAGGCCAGCAACTTTGGGGAGCTTCTGCTCCCCCTCTGCGTATCAGAGGCTTTGGATTTCCCTATCCCTGTGGACGGGCAGTTCTCTCTCCTGCGAAAATCCCCTGTTCAGAGCACTGGAGTTCTCCCCTTCGTTGGGGCTGTCGTGACAGCAGCTCATTGACAGCACCCACGGGCCCAGCTGGAAGCTACCGCCCATGGACAGACACAGGAGAGTTAATTGCTACAGCAACAAGGAAGGAGGAGGCTAAAGGTCTGGCTTTCAAGGTGGCCACTTCCTTCAGGACTTCAGACAGGTGACTTGCCCTTCAGGATTCTTTATCTGTGAGACAGATCAAAAACTAACTTGACCAAGGCCTGCACTTGGCCTAAATGCGGTGCAGACTGGGGAGAGAGGAAGAATGATGTCCTACATGGAAGAAATAGATGTCCTTTTGGTTTGGGCTCTGCTGCTTTCACATTTTTTTTTTATACTGGCACCATTGGGAGAGTTCCCATTTGCTTAATTAGGCCACATATGAGGAACCTGGGAAGACACTTTGCATATTTGGAGTGGCTTGACCTGCTAATTTTCATCCTTTATGAATGTGAGCAGCCTGGGTTCAGATGAAAGTTCCTGACTTTAGGAGGAGCTGGATATCCAAATCAGCTGCAAAGAGTAAGTTGTTGGAGATTTTTGTTTGGGTTTTTTTTTTTAAACACCACACACGAACCCACATTTTTACTGGGGTAGACAGTAAAACACACTGCTCTGCTTATAGCTCTAGAACAAAGACAACACTGACATAGCATCATGTTTGGTTGGCAAGCATTTCTAGATGCTATTCCCAGTTTACAGACAATCATGTCAATGCTGTGGTGTTGGAAGCAAGCTTTCATTGTTTCCTGACACAAAAACTACATTTACTCTTCAACCAAGTGTACAGCTTGATCAAAAATATAACCCAGGGTACATTCTCTAAGGGGAAAAGAAATCTTATCAGCTACTGCTTCCTATTATTTCCTCTCAGTTCTTGGTTTTTTTTCTGATAGCTGTACACACAGTTAGAAGACTGCCTGACTTAAGTGGAATTAATTGCAAGAGGTATATCTGCAATAAAAATATCTGCAAAAGATATTTTGGGGTGTTCCTTGCTATTAGGTAAACTTATTTTCCCATGTATGGACCCTTATCTTTGCAAAAGAATTATTTTTGGGGGGAAGGGGGACTTATGTTTATGACCAAACTAATTATTTCAGAATATATTGCTTTTTACTCATAAATGAACTCTCCATGTGTCCTGTGAGAAGAGCTGCACTTCTTTATCACATTCCCATCCTTGAAGCTGAAAAACTACTTGGATCCTGGCCATAACATGAAAGTCAGGATGTTTTGAACCATGGCACACGCATGAGACAAGAGAAGGTGTCAAGTTCACACTACAGACAACTTCAGAACTTGTGGTTAACAGAGAGTTAGACTGAGGATCCTTATTCCTGGCAGTAGAGCTTGTTGGCTACCTTGATTAAAATCAAAGCTTTCAATCCATTAAAAGCTATCTATTTACCAATTGGGAAGAATCAGCTCCTGAAGTACTTTGATTAACATGATGCCCACCTGGGGCCACAGACCCATCCAAATCCAGAGAGCTCTCTGCCCTGGGCAGGGAGCTACTGCCCTAGGAAAAGGAGCACACACGTACTGTGATCAAAACACCTGACAGCGTTTTGTAAACAAAGGCCAAATTTCCGTAGTTGGCCACAAGGATCTCTATCAAACAGTGAGAATAAAAAAAAACAATTATGAAAAGAACCTATAGCCTAAAAATAACTGATTTCTGGTTCAAGCCCCACCAAGCTGGTGTCCAAGCCACAGGTAGTTTCACTACAGGCTTCAGACAAATGGACTTCTGTCCCAATGTCAGAGGTGGAGGTGTACTGGTCAGCCACAGGGCAAACTATCACAGGCCTCTGACTGTGCACGCTGTCAGCTGCCTGTCAAGAATCAGTACCAAGCATTTACCAGTTTGTATCAAACATTTGCTTGATTAAAAAAGTCAGTTCCTTGCAATGCTTTACAGGGACATGCTTAGTGACAGGGGCTAAGCAGCTCCTTCCTCTACAGACAGAGTGCAGGCCATAAAAAGGTCAGGCTAAAGTTAGCTGGCAATGCAAATGCTGTCAAATAAGGAAGGAACGGGGATGGGGACAAGCACTTAAGATCATGTACTAGGATTGGCACAGCACCAGCTTCTAGGGAAACCCAGGTTAAATAGGTTATCCCCACATGCCAGCTAAAGGCTCCTGTGCCTGCTGCACAAGGGAACCCTGAAAGACAGCAGTTATTTGTCATCAACCCCCTCTGTACACACATTCCCTTCCCGGTGATGCCCCTCCAAGTCCCCTAAGGCCAGTTCCACCTGTTGAACCTTCTCAGGTGGGCAAGGAGGGAAACAAGAACAAGGCAGTACCCTTCCTCCAGGATACACTGCACCAACCACAGGGCTCTGCATCCTGGGACAAGGGCAATCCTTGCCATCAGGCTGACCACAGACATGCTCAGGAGATCCTATCAGTAAGAAGTGGCAGTGAACCCAATCCTTCCAGCCCCTTCCTACACTGCCTGGGAGCTCCCTGGCTTCCTCCAGCTCCAAGAGCTCTGCCCAGTGTCTCTCAACAGCACAGCTCACCAGCTCCACTGGAAGCAGAAGGAAATGAGAGGCCCACAGGCAAATGGAGCACAGTGATACAACTCCATGTAAGCCTTCCACAGAGTCAATTATGCTGGAAAAGACCTCTGACATCATCGAGTCCAACCTATGACCAAACACCAAATCAACACAGCATTAAGTGCCACATCCAGTGTTTCCTAAGCACCTCCAGGGATGGCAACTCCACTACCTCCTTGGGTAGCCATTCCAATAATTAATCACCCTTTCTGTGAAGAAATTCTTCCTAATGTCCAACCCAAACCTCCCGTGGCACAGCTTAAGACTGTATCCTCTTGTCCTATCACCAGCTGCCTGGGAGAAAAAGGTCAATCCCAACCTGGCTACAACTTCCTTTCACGGAGCTGCAGAATGATAAGGTCACTCCTGAGCCTCCTTCCCTCCAAGCTGAACACCACCAGCTCCCTTAGCCACTCCTCACAGGACTTGTGCTCCAGACCCCTCACCAGCTCTGTTGCCCTTGTCTGGACCCGCTCCAGCACCTCAGCGTCCCTCCCGAAATGAGGGACCCAGAGCTGGGCACAGTACTCGAGGTGGGAATCCACTAGAAGAAAACAGGGAACTGAGCGGACTGTAGGCAAACGAGGCACTGTTATACGAGTCCCCACCGCCGGGTGCCCGGAACTCCTCGTGCACCTCCCCCATCAACCCTCGTCACACCCCAAACCCGCGCGGCGTAAATAGCACCGGGGCTTTTATAGCGCCCCTTCCCGGCATGCCCCGCGCGCGGCCGCCGCCGATTGGCCCGCGGGTGGCCGGGGGCGGGGCGGGCGCGCG